ATGATATATATATATAGCTATATCCGTATACATCCATGCACACACATACATATGCACACATACACATACGCACACATATACACCTGTCTCTTATACACATCTAGATGTGTATAAGAGACAGTTCCTACTTCGTTTAGAAGTAGTTAATTTTGGAATTAGTGTTAATTTCCATCTGCGAATATCAATATAAACTCTGTCTCTTATACACATCTAGATGTGTATAAGAGACAGGCAAAGAGATCTTAAACACGTTTGAGAACAGTCGGCACGTGTTCTGGTAACGCCTTTCTGAAGTATCTGTCCCGCAATACCTTCCAGTGGATCCAACATTTCGAATAATGCACCTTTGTCTAAAAATTAAATAACCATACTGTTAAGCTTTACAGTGTTGGGAACTTTAAAATACACAGTGTTGGGAACTTTAAAATACACGATTTTTTTTTAAATAACACCATTAATTAAGTATACTTAAACCGATTAGTTCAACCTGAAAAAATAATCCAAAAATATCTTACTTGTGAAAAATGATGGTTGTTGAGCCATCGCCAATTTTATTTCTGCTTCGTTAAGTGCACGGTCATACAACTGGAGCGCGGCTACTTCGGCAAACAGCTGGCCACTGGGACTCCCGATCTGTAGTTGATGTGCATTGAAATCCAGCGGTGTTAAGTTGGTATGGCAGAAGATCACAATTTCACCATTTCTCCAAAGTGTGATTGTGCCATTAAACGTTAGGGTAAGGAATGTCCAGGTATCAGGCATTAAAACATGGGCTCTGGTTAGCTGATTATCATCATACAATACGGTTACTTCGGAGTTATAGAGGCGCCCGAATGTTTGCGTTAGTCGTAGAGAATCTGTATCGCCGATTGAAATGATATCGCCAATTGAATTGTGAAAGGGGTATATGTAGAAAGCCACAGTAAAAGCGTGAAAAGCGCTGAAGTTGATTTTTTCCAATGTTATGATTTGATTTAATGGCTTTGTAGCCCCAGTCTGCTGCTGGTCAGTGACGTACTGGTATTGCATAAAAAAGGCAATTGGAGACTGCAATAAAGTGTCCAGGCTTAGATCCCAGAATCCAACAGGATAAACTTTGGTGTCAAATCCACCTAAATGCAGAAATTGTATTTAAATTGTATTTGTCTTGTTTATCAATTACCAAGTGACTCGCCACTTTTATGGAAGCAATACTCTATGACCTAGGCCTAAGTACATTATGAGAATTAAAACTGGATTGGTTTTCCATGTAAAAATGAATCATATAGGTTAATCAAAACAGACATTTTTCTTCAAAACTGACCAATCAGGACATGGCTAGGAATACGGGCTAGAAATACGCGCTAGTCTTACAAACACACTATCAATTTGTGGACCTTAGCAGCAGGGGTGGGGTGGGTTAAATTATACTCAAGAGTCTGATTTTGAAGGCAAACAGTTTAAACGATTTACAACTCATTCCCACTATGTTTTTGGCTACACTTAGGACTCAATGAAACATGTTGAGATGCACGTATTCCGCTATATCAATAATATATTTACAACAGAAAAAAACCCAATTATCTAAGTGATGATAAAGGAGGCAGTAAATTGTTAATGGACCGTTCGGGTAAGCAAAACCCCTTAATGGATTGTTGCGTATTCCTACTTCGTTTAGAAGTAGTTAATTTTGGATTTAGTGTTCATTTCCATCTGAAATATCAATATAAACTTACATATGTCTGGTTCAAATTCGTTGTAGACCCTGACTTCACAAATGTTTAAAGGCTCGGCGCTACCGCTGGGAAACCATACAGTGACGTAGCGGCCACTCATTGGCTGTTGACATCTTACGTCAAAAAATGTATTGAACTTTACTTGGGCGAGAGTTACTGATTCTCCACATTTATTAAAATTTCTGATGTCACCACCTGAACCAATGGCAATGGCAGCACTGATAAGTCGCAAATGACAATCACCTAAATATTATTAAACACAAATTGGGATTAAACAATCTTTGAATCTAGTTCTCCTACTGTATATACATTCAGAAATAAAGATTGTTAGTACCTTCTTTAGTCTGTAGAGTATAAACAAATATTATACACCCTATTTTGTAATTATCAAAACCAAATTAAAAATAATGGAACATATTTTATCAATTATCTATTTCACTACATTTTATGATGATCCATTCATTAGTTTTTGCGTAATCTTTCGAACAGACAGACCGACGGCAGTGAATACAGAACCTCCTTGGCGGTGGAATACCATATCAATGTATTATAGCGTCGGGTATACCGTACTTTAAATTTTAAAAAAGACTCGAGAAAGTCACGTGGTTAGACTGAAACGATCACATGATTCTGCACACTTACAACCTGCTTGAACGCGGTTTACTATTGTAACACGTGTTACCCGATATTCATTTTCTAGGTCTATCTTAAGCCATTGTTGAAAGGATCCGTGTTGATAACCATTCACTGTAAACAAAACAAAATGAAGCTCATTGTAAACACAGCGTGGAGTATTTAAAGGAAAAGGTCCAGGCATGTCCTGCTTTTAGTGGCACATTTAAAAGCTAAACGTGTTTAGATCAGGCCTACTGTGCTTTAAGGATCTTGACGTGTTCAGCATTAAATGTGCTTGGATATGTGACATCAGGATGTCAAATACCTAAGCATATTTATACCCCATTCAGACTAGCATCGCATTGCGATCGGTTGTAGCATTTGCGACACCCAATCGCAAAGTAAAATGGGGTATAAATAATAACTGTGAACAGAAAATTTGTTGTGAGTCGCCGTATTTAAGGCGGCCCTGGGCCGACCCTAGGCCCAGGTAGTGAGGCCCAGGTAGTGAGTGGCATGCATGAAATCAGCGTACATTACTACAAGTATGAATATGGAATTTCTCATGGTTAAAGTAAACAACTCTGTCATTGTGTGCCCTCAATAGACCGAATGAGCGACGAAAGATGACGTCATCACAATTGGGCCGAGTGGGTATAAAATTCTAAACAAAGCCTAAAAGTCCTATTCTATAACGTTGCGAGTTTTTGTATGGTCCAGGAAAACAAGCAAAAAAACCAAAGTACGTTCAGCTCCGTGCAGTCTGCCAAAGTTATTGGTGTGAATTTAGGAACATTATTCAATAATTTTGAATAACTTAGCTCTCCTTGAAATCTGCAAGTACAATACATTTCATGAGTTTTGCAACAAGCACATTCATCGACCGACGCCATGATTCACTATGAGTGAATACACGGCTGCCGTCGTCGTGCTGTAACACAGGCAGACAATGTAGGCCTACGTTTTATTCCCAAAATAATATGATTGATTCTCGTTATATTTCATATTTGGCATTCACAATCGTAGAGAAAAGATGACGTTACATTCATAAACATGTAACAATGTTTTTTGTTAATTTAAATCACGCTCAACTTTACACACAAAGCGTGTATGAGACGTTTTAGTAAAGGCTATTTTCTTAAATTACTGTGTAAATCGCCTACTTCTTGCGTTTGATTTGGCTCGAATACCCACTAATAGCTGAACAGCGTCGATCGCTAATTCGGTCTATTTGCGTTGTTATCTATTTGTTAGTTTCCGTTTCCTTTAATTCGCTTTTGTTTTAAACTTTTTTCTTAAAAATATACGACTTAAACTACGCTGTTAGGCATAATAATAATTTATTTGGATATGCACTTTTGAATCAGTGGCACTCAACCACAGGGGTGATGCATCCTAACAACAAGAAAAAATATAAAAATTACAATAAAAAAGAAAGACATCAAAACAAAAGATAATAAAATTAGCTAAAACTAAAAGAGAAAATATTTCTATTTTCTCTATGACAAGAAGAACATCAGTCTCTAGATGACACGTCTCTTTCCTGCAACAGTCGTAGTAAGAGAAATCCCTCTGTAATTATTCAGATCCCTGCGGTCACCCTTTTTAAATATTGGAACAATAATACCTTTGTTCAAATCCTTAGGGATTTTTTTCAAGAGCAATTATTCTTTTAAATAATGAGAGAATTGACATGGTCAAGCAGTTTCCACCATTTTTCAAACTTTCATTTGAAATCATATCTATACTCTGTCTCTTATACACATCTTACTCTTACACAAGATCTTCTTTCCCCTCCCTAGAGTAATGATTTTGTCACCCGGAAACCATCATCCGCAACAGAGCAAACCCTTCCTCTCATCCCACTCCAGAACATTTTGAACTCTTGTGAACTGAAGTACAATAGACAGTCCCTGAAGAACTAGCACCTTAAGAGCTTAATAAATCATTCCTAAGCTTCCATGCTCTCTTAACATAAGATTTGCAAAATTTATCAAAAATATCATGAACATCATAAATATAGTCACAATGCACCTCTCCCCAAAGAACAATACTTGATTTAGTACAAAGGTCACTGGTGATAAAATACTCCCATACATTTAGGCAATCAGTATTAACTAGCTTATTTTCTAAAACATGATATTCTTCAATTCTAATGGTGTTTAGTTGATTACATGTGAATAAAAAATGTTTTATATCTTCAACACCATTATTACACAATTGGCAAGTGCCATCACTATTGGGTACCCATTTACAGGTCCTATGTCCTAATGGAAGAGTATTTGACCTCATTTTGAATTTTAGGCTTGCACAAATAAAAATTTGCCTGGTAAAGTAAATATTTTTCCATATTCGGACTGCTCTTAATTGAAGAATATTCAGAAAGTGACGATTTTCTTAACATTTCGCTATTCCAAAAAGAAACATATGAATCAAGAATTAACTCTTTGAAATCGTTAACACAACACATATCGGATGCAACTCCAAGGCATGAATTTTTAAAGATTGAACCAATTTCCAACCTTATATCAGTACAAATCTTAATGAAACTAGAGAGCAGTTTATAGCGTGGCTCAGCAATACTATTTAGACTAAGGGATGTATTAAGCATAAAGTTTGGCCATCTATGCTTATCTAAATTCATTACATGATTAATGTATTTAGCTCTAAGTATATCCAACGGAAGCAATCGATAAATATAGGATTGTACTTAACAGCCAGAGGCCCAAAAAAAGACATGTCACATACAGGCTTCTAAAATACAATGATATAAAAACAAATAAATCTATTAAAGTATAAACAATTATGAAATTAAATTATAAAATCTCAAACATTAAACTTAGCAAAGGAGACATCTTTCATATTTACTTGTTTATCAAATAAAATAGGATAAAATTATCACCTCATTATAGTTTAGTCAGTAACTTACATGAGTGAAAACAATTTGCAGCCATGATTGAACGATCATCCCCATCGGTAACTGCTTTAGCATAAAACTGTCCATGAGTTGATGATGATGATACAGGCTTTTTGAATGACAGGTATACTAAACAACAAATAAATGAAAAATAAATTATTTGGTAAAGCGTTAGAAGGCCTTTTCGCTCCATTGAATTTTGTAAATATTAGATTTTTTGGTACAAGTATTTTGAAGCTTTCCATTCTTTAAAGCCACAAACAGGAGGTTTGAAGAAATATTCGGGAATAGTTTTTTTTTCTCTTTCGTAGGAGTTTAACCCACTTTGATTTCTTTCTCTTTTTGTTACTTTTCTTTTTTTTCTGCTTCTAATACATCTTTAAAAGAAAATGAATATACAAAATAAAAACAATTGCACTTAGGAGGGGTCAGTCCACCATGGCTGACTATCTTTCTTTTTTTTTTTTTAACATCTTTCCACTTGTAATAATTTCTAAATATGTTTTACCAAGATGTAGGTCTAATTAACATTATTAACATCGTACATTAAAGAATTTCTTCAAGTCATTTTCATTAAAAAAAAACCAAAAAAAACAAAAACAACATATTTATATACATATACACTGCACATATACATAATATTATTTTCTTTTTAAATCCACCCTTTACCTTTCATGGGAATTTCATTCTCCTTTATTTCTTTCTCTTTTTGTTATTTTTTTTTTGTATGGTACACTCACATATATATACATTTCACACTCATCATATATATCTATATCCGTATACATACACGCACATCCATTC